TTTTTAAAAAAGATATCATATTTCTCTCAAATGGTGGTTCACCATCTATAGTCGTAAATATTATATCTTCGTATATCTGTATCACGATTCACGATAATTGCCATACAAATCTCTTTTTGTGCATTGCATACTCTATCATAATGTTCTTTCATTGTACAAAATGAATATCTCTCGAATTGAAGTGTTGTTAATGTCGATTCAACCAATTAATTAACCTTAACTATCACACAATTCACAATTAAAATTCATCACAATTAAAATTTAACTATCACACAATACACTTGAAATAAATCTAAAAATTTCAAACTCATTAACCTTAACTATCCACATTTCACAATAAAAATATATCACAATTAAAATTTATCAAAATTAAAATTTATCACAATTAAAATTTAACTATCACACAATGCAAATAAAACGATTCATATCAAAGGATATTTCCACTTCAATGCGTTTTTTTTATTCACAAACAATATTTGAAATTTAATGAGCTTTAAAAATCTGATTGTAACAGAATCCACAAAGTCCAAACACACAAAGTCCAAACACACAAAGTCCACTTGTTTCCAAAAGTGGAAAAAAATCGCACACACAAATCCACCGTAAACAATTAACAATTCGTCACAAAAAAAAACTTTGAAAAACACATGTATTTTGTTGTTGTAGTCGCTAAATTTACGCCAACGCATTTTTACCTGTGTTTCCGTTAACGTACATGCGAAAATAACGTTGTGCTCTTCTGCACGTCTTCACCTTTCCAACGGTATAAATTTTATCCATATATGTCAACGGCAACACAGTTAAAACGGGGTAACAAACTTTTATGTTAGCGTAATTATATATAGATTAAACCATAAGAGGGATACTAAAGGCTTAGCACAAATTTATAGATCATTAATCAAAATTTAATTGCTAATTTTATTTTTTATTTCTATTTGTATTTACATTTATTTTAAAAATTTATGTTTCATTTTGACTAAGACAACACTGGTTACCATTCTTATTAAAAATTACTTTTCGATTTTTTTATACTTTCTTTTGTTTTATTTATGTGACTTTTGACATTTTAATAATATTTTTCTTTTTTTTATATAATTGAATTTGTATAATTTGTAATAACACTGAAGATGGTCTACGAAATATACCGCATTATTTGCTAATAAAATATATTACATAAATTAATCATTGTGATATTTTTATTTAATTTAAAGTGTGTTTTTTATAAAATATGATATATTATATAAAAATATAAATTCAAATTCCTTTTTCCAAATTTTGTTTCTTCTTCAATAGGACACGACACGCACCGCAAACTTTTGCCAAAAAAGGAGACCGAACAACTTTTCTGCTATGATTTTTATAGCACAACTCGCATAACTGAAAACCTTCTATAAAGTTCGTAGTCCTGTTAATTTAATTTTTGGCGCCGAGGGTTCTTCAAAACTTTTTACCACTTTCCTATTATCAGGTTTTCCTCTTGTGGATTTGCTTTTGTTTGCTTTGTCTGGTTTTGTTTTGGTTTTGTTTACCTATCTTTAGAGAAATGAACTTCTAAAAAGCTCTTTTTTTCCATAAAAGCTAGAATTTACTTTTATATTCATGTTTGTTATTCACACTTGGCAATACCATATTCTCTCACTAGTTCAAACTTTAGTGAAGCCTTTAGTAGAATTCGCCTCAATTTATTCAGATCAAAACGATGAGTTTACTTCCTCAAACATTTGAAAATTTCTTAATTGAACTTGAGGTGTGCGCGCAAAAAATATCACTGCGTACTTTGATGTTTTTTCTAAGTGTAAAACGTATAAATTAATTTAAAATTATCACAAAAAAATAAAACCGAGGCAGTGACTCTTTAAAAAATTTATAAAATATAGTGCCCGACAAAATAAAATATTAACATATTTATATTGTTTTTATGTAAAAAAGCGGATTTTGGTTTTGCGGAATTACTTTGTTTTTGAAGTGGTTAATTTTGCCTCAAATTCGCACACATTTAAAAACAGCTGATAGAGACAGCAAATAAAGCTTTTAAGCTTAAATTAAATCACAAGAAAAGTGTTGTAAACAAATCTATAAAAACTAAATAAATTGTGTAATTGTGTAATTAATATAGCTAAATAACTAACAAATGCTAAATAAATAAATACGCGAAAGGACGCTAAAAATATTTATTTATAAATTTTAAGGTAAAAATTTTAAATTTAAATTTATATTATTAGTATAAATATACGCGCTAAAAATAGTATTAATTTAAAAATTAATATGACTGATGCTAATACCCCACCTCCCGGTGGTGGAAATAAAGAAAAAATGATCAAACTTGAAAAAGAAAATACAGAACTTCAGAATAAAATTAAAAAGCTTGAAAATTTATATTTATTATTATCCAATGAGTTAACTGCACTGAGAAGTGAAAACGAAAAATTAAAATCTTTTAAAAACGTACCAGAAATTGCAAAATATGAAACCGATGAGGAGGAACTTGCCAGAGAAACAGACTGGATCTTAAAAAAGAAAAGACCAACTAAAAAACGTAAGGCCGAATCCTCTCCTGAAGTATCTAGTCAAAGTAGACCTACTGTTAAAACAAATACTTGCCAAAAAGGACAAGCTGCCCCTAATAAAATTGCTCGACCTCCTCCTATTGTTATCAATGGCATAAATGATTTTAAAAAATTACATGCACAACTTATTGCAACTATAAAAAACAAGTTTTTTGTGAGACTTATAAATAATGGTTCATATAGAGTATCAATTTTTGACTCTTTTGACTATAGATCTGTCACAAAACTATTAAGCCACGAAAATATTTCCTGGTTCAGCTACGAAGACAAGCAAACTAGGCCAATAAAAGTTATTGTAAAAAATCTTCACCATTCGTGTGATCAAGAATCGATTATAAATGACTTAAACAACCAAGGTTTAAAAGCAATCGGTGCGATAAACAAACTCAAATGGAAGACTAAAGAACCGCTTGATATGTTCCTTTTGTCATTTGACTCAACCGAAGATGTGAGGAAAATCTATGAGATAAAAAGTATTCTTAACACAATTGTAAAGATTGAACCCATCAAACCGTCAAACTTAATTCCTCAATGCAAAAAATGTCAATCGTTCGGTCACACAAAAAATTTCTGTGGAAAACCTCCACGTTGTGTTAAATGCGCCGGCAAACATTTAACTTCGGAGTGCCAAAAGACAGTGTCCGATAAGCCTAAATGCTGCAACTGTGGCGAACCGCATCCAGCGAACTATCGTGGTTGTATAGTCGCTAAAGAATTACAAAAAATAAAATTAAAAAACAAAGCTGACAAAACTAAGGCTGACGAAAATAATCAAGTTGCTGTAACAAAAAGTAAATCCAAAATTACTGGACCTACTAGTGTTAGAACAGTCACTTACGCCCAAACTGTAAAGGGACCCATTCAAAGTACTGAGTCACAAAGCAACAACGCGTTGTCAATTATCTTAACAAAATTTAATCTACAAGAAGAGGTATTTAAAACGCTCGAACAACGTCTAAGCGTGCTAGAGCACAATATGCAATTTTTAGATTATGACTAATCGTTTGAAACTATTCTTATGGAATGCGAATGGCTTAACAAAACATAAAAATGAACTCGAAGTCGTATTAAATAGCGAAAACATTGATATCGGTTTAATCGCTGAAACTCATTTTACTAAGCAATCGCACATAACGTTTAAAAACTATATTCTATACCATACCATACATCCTGATAATTGCGCAAGGGGTGGCAGCGCTGTCATAATTAGAAACTCGATAAAACATCACTTACTAGAACAATATAGCACAATCGAATTTCAAGCTACTTCTGTTTCCGTGGAAACCTTTAATCAGCCGCTGGTCGTAACTGCATTATATAGTCCTCCCAGGCATCAGTTGAAGTGTGCAGACTACTTATCTCTCTTTAACCGGTTTCAAGGCCGTTTTATAATTGGAGGAGACTTCAATGCAAAAAATACGTTTTGGGGCTCAAGACTTAATACAACCAAAGGAAGAGAAATTTACAAAGCCATGCAACTCGCAGCTTGTAATTCAATTTCAACAGGTAAACCAACGTACTGGCCGTCGGATACTAGCAAAGTTCCAGACCTAATAGACTTCTTTGTCTACAAAAATATTCCAGCATCTCACCTAACCATCTCAGAAGGCTTCGACTTTAGCTCTGACCACTCACCAGTGCTGCTGATAGTTTCACAAAATCCAACAATAAACCAGAACACACTCAAGTTAGCAAATAAATTTACCGACTGGAAATATTTTCAGCTTCAGCTTGTACATTTGCATAAGTTTGATCATATTGTTAACAGCGAGCAACTAGATGACGCAGTACTTCATTTCACTCAGCAATTGCAGATGGCAGCGTGGAACAGTACACCAACACCAAAACTCCAAGCTCTACATGGTAAAAAATACCCACCCTTCATCACAAAAAAGATTACGGAGAAGCGAAAATTGCGAAAACGTTGGCAAGCAACAAGATGTCCGTTAATTAAATCGCAACTAAACCGAGCAACTAAAAAGTTACGCACATCCATCAAATCATACAAAAATAATACCTTTAATAGTTTTCTGATGGGCCTCACGGCAGACAAAAAAAATGAATACTCTTTGTGGAAAGCTGCTAAATCATTTAACAGACCAATGCAGCAGTCTGCCCCAGTAAAAATAAACAAAACTCACTGGGCTAAAACAAATTCTCAAAAGGCGAACCTGTTTGCTGAACACCTAGAGAAAACCTTCAGTCCAAATGAAGGCCAAGATGTTATTGGGTCAAGTACAAATTGGCCCGAAGGCGACGCTGCAATTGTTCCAGTCACTACGGAAGAAGTGAGAAAACAAATTTTGACAATGAAACTCAAAAAATCTCCTGGTTTTGACTTAATAACGGCTGAAGTTCTTCGGAACTTACCCAATAACTGCATCAGCTACCTATGCGATTTAATTAATTCGTGCCTCCGTTTGAAACATGTACCCATTTTTTGGAAATTCGCTGAGGTAATTATGATACCTAAACCAGGGAAGTCTCCCAATGATGTATCCTCATATAGGCCAATATCTCTATTGCCAACCTTATCGAAGCTTTTTGAAAAACTACTACTAGCGCGTTTATCACCAATAATTGAGAGAAGACGCTTAATTCCGGATCATCAATTCGGCTTCAGAAAAAATCATTCAACCATCGACCAAATACATGTAGTCGTAAATGCCATTGAATCGGCGATGCAAGAGAAGAAAGTGTGTTGTGCCGTGTTCTTAGATGTATCACAAGCCTTCGATAAGGTTTGGCATGAAGGATTACTCCATAAACTTAAATCATTATTGCCTATACAATACTGTAAGCTACTATCATCGTATCTAAACGACAGGTACTTCAGTGTTAAATATGAAGATGCACATTCAGCACTAAAGAAGATTAGCGCAGGCGTCCCGCAGGGGAGCATTCTTGGGCCCATTCTATATCTCCTGTATACACACGACTTACCCTCTGCAAACCAACTAGTTACAGCAACATTTGCAGACGATACTGCGGTTCTAGCAATCGAAAACAATATAGAAGACGTGACGGCTAATCTGCAACACACAGTCAATCAAATTGCTTCATGGGCAAAAAAATGGAGAATCAAGCTCAATAAGGAAAAATCAGTACATATAGTCTTCTCATTGAGAAATTATAACCATATTCCAATTCATATCGATGCCACAAAAATTCCACACGCCAACGAAGCCAAATATCTGGGCATTACGCTTGACGCCAAGCTGCGCTGGAAAGCGCATGTTAAGAAAAAACGAGAAGACCTTGACCTAAAACTAAAGAAATTTTACCACCTCATAGGCAGGCGCTCTAAACTGGCAATCCACAACAAACTAATGGTCTACAATCAAATACTAAAGCCGGCTTGGAGTTATGGCATACAGTTCTGGGGTTGTGCCAGCAAGAAATACATTGCAACTATCCAGCGCTTTCAAAATAAAGTACTACGATGCATCGTAAATGCTCCATATTACATTAGAAACAGTGATCTCCACCGTGACCTTGACATACCAACAGTCGACGTCGTGGCAAAAAGGTGTGCCATTGCTCACAA